CCAAAAAAACAAAAAAAAAGGGGGTTTAGGGTGTCAAAAACATTGGGGGTGACCCTCATTCCTCAGACCCCTCAGACCCCCCTACTAAAAGGGTCTGAAGGGGTCTGAGGAATGAGGGCTCATTCCAAGGGGTGGGGGTGTTAGGACCAATTCACACGTCCGACTTGGAAGAATGGAAACTGTATGACAAACATTTACCATCGGCCAACACCAACAAAGAAGCATCCATGGAAGAGCCGGAAAACACTAGAGCCCAAGAGATGTGGAAAGACGGCTTCATTGTGAGTCTTCATCTGGGGTTTTTTGAACATCAAGCGTGGGTCAGCATAGCTAACCCTCACACGGCTAATCTAGGAAGTGGCCAACGGAGAATGGATGAACAAACAACAATTCAACTCAGCCATCCAAGACTATCCTGACCTGATGTTCAATCGTGACATCCCAATCCAGTTTGGTCGGATGGCTAATCAGATGAAGACCCAACCAGCCCACACCCAAATGCAAAGAGCAGTCAGTGGCCTATCTATACCCAAACCACCAGCCCACGCCAGAGCCGACCGATCATCTGACCCTCAAGTAGCTTCTTCCATCCAGCCCGAAACCACCGGAATCCCAAAACCGCAGGAAACGAAAGGTCCCCTGAATGACGTTGAACCTCCAGCCAAAATATATCCAGAATCGTTATCCCATGTCACCCCACACCCCAGCCGAAAACTCTCTCGAATGCCATCAACTACCACAACCATCGGAGCCGCCCTGGGTATCCCCAGCCTTGCCAAGGCATCACTCGATGAGATGAAAGACATGCATTCCATATGTAAGCACCCCATGAATCCCAAACAACAAATCCAAAGTTCAAGGCACTCACCACTCTCAAATTCCAGGGAGTCGAACCAGGGATCACCTGTGCAAATCAATGGAAGAATTGAGAATCGCTGGACACCACATCAAGACCCCTAGCGCTTATGATAATCTGGCTGCCCACAATAGCCTGGTTGACATCTTTTGCAGCCGGTTACAAGGGAGAATCCAGGCCGCAGAAAAATCCGGAATATCCAAGGAAATCGAGGTCGTCGACTTGATTGACTTGACAGGAGACGATAACGACTATCCTACCAGCTGCTTAGGTGAGGGACGACTCAAGCGTGCTAGTCGTAAGTCACATCATCTAGAGTTATTTGTCAACAGAGGTGAGGCTAACCGTAACCTCTGATCTCCAAGGCCTGTCTGATATTGAAGACGAAGACGAAAGCCCTGTCCAGACCAAGAGGGCACGAAAATCATGTATGTCCTCATATATTATGCATCAAATGACCGAATTAAATCAAACTGATATTCATGCCAAGGTGATTGCTCAAACTCAGCCCAACAGATTATCTTGTCCGAGTTTACAGCCAATGACCGACCACCCAAGATCATTACCTCCAAGCCACCCCAAGACAACAACCAATCTGAAGCAGCTAGCCATGCGAAGACTACCGAATTCACTGTCTTGTATGAAAACCCGCGGCAAGAAACCCAACCTGAAACACCTCGACCTATGACCCGATCATCCACAAGAAGCCAAAACGCCAAGTCATCCAAGGATGTTCAACTTCCAAAAGAAAAGTCCAACGCTACCAAAGAACCATTGCCCCTGCCAAACGAACCGTCTCCCCTGCCAAACGAACCATCAACCGAGTCCAAAGAAGCCACATCAACCAAGGGGAAAAAAAAGGCAGGAGGAAGAAAGATGAAGAAACAAGAGGAAACTCCAGAGGATCGAAAACAAAAGGAGGAGGAAAGAAAAAGCAAAAGGGCAGCAAAGAAAAACAGTCCTTACAAAGATCCACCTCCACCAGGGAGTAAGTAGATCATTGAAAGATAAATAGCAATAGTCGATGTAGTAACTGATCACCTAATCCATTTAGCTTTGTTATCCAAAATCTGGAAGAAATCGGAAAGCCTGAGGATGCACAACCTCTACTCAACCATGCTGGAAATGTCTCGAAATCCCCAATGGGATTACAACCCTGAATTAATGGAACTAGTCGCCGACATGGTCCAATGGTCAGCAGGTGACACAGAGTGTGACGAATTTTACGAAATGCCAGAATTATTCACACCATCGGTCGAGGCCATCCAGGCGTTAGGAGTAGCTCATGACCCAGATTTCAGGCACTGCATCAGTTCAAGTGAGTATTTCAGTTGCATAGCTAGCAATAAGAGGATGGCTGACTCAGAGACACATCCAAAACCGCAATCACAGACCCCAGGTTACTGCAGCTGGGCGCTAGAGATCCATTCTTCAAGCGGGAAGTCTTCAACATAGAGACAGTCAAACAAGCCGCAACAACCAACGGCTCCTTCAAGTGCGCCTCTTGGAAGAGTTTTTACAGTATGATGATTCGAGTCGACGACCAAGACGATTTCACAGAAGACCCAGAGACATGCCGCGGCTTCCAAAGTGCTATTCGAAAGCTACATAGCCTCGCCAAATCCTGTACAGATAACCTCCACCTCTACCTGAAACCCAACCCCGTCAGCAAAGAAGATTCCATCCATTGGAAGCAGGACACCCTGTTTGAAGCTGGGCGATTCGTCATTGGGCAGATCAAAACTATCCAAGCAGGCGCGGCATCAACGGCGAATACGAATGGAAATGGAAGGACAGCAAACGGATTACTAGTACTTCAAAAGCGCATCTGGGAGACATTACTCTGCTGTCTCATGATGCAAAATTCTTTTTTCATCGATTACCTAGAAGAGTGCATCAAGAAAAAGCACTTCCCTGACAATTCCTTGGAAGCTGCAGCTAAAATGAGCGAATACAATCAATAACGATCCCTCTTCAAGGAAGGCGACGTCAAGGACCTGAATTCGACAAAGCAGATGAAGGAGTGGGGAAAGATTTGACTATCTGCATTCGGTTCCATGGCGGTTTTCTTCCTATTTGGCACGGCCGGTGTAAGACTCAAAAAGTGGTTGTAAGACCCTTTTTGCTGAATGGAGAAGGGGATGATGGAGTGAAGACTCTGCCCTTCTATACTATCAGATAACAAGACCCACCAAGCTTAGCTTGGAAAGTTTTAATCAAGTGATAGGGTAAAAGTTTAGGAATGAGTTTGTGTGATGAAGAGTTTGTTGATTTGGTTTTGGTTGGCGCGTTTAAAGTGTTTGTGTAAGGTGGTCAAATATTGCTTGAGTGTTACTTGACTGAGGATTAAACAACTGGGAGGAGAGCCTCCTTATATATACAACAGTGAGGGAATTTAGCTCCAGGGCAGCCAGTAATGAGTGATTTTGGCTGGCCTGGGCTATTACATGAGGTATTTTTAGCTACATACAAAATTTGAATGAGTGAATGTGATTGGTCAGACATGTACAAGAGTTGAAGTGGTGATCCAAGCAGCTGAATGAGTGATTCTGATTGGTCAGGTTCTGATGTGTTTACAAGTGAGTGTGGTGGTGTAAGCTGCAGCTGTCATGCATGGAAAATACACTAATTTAGGCTGCAGGTATGATGTAATATGTAGAAGTGAAATGTAAAGAGTGTATATGTATGTAAATGAGTGTATATGTAAATGAGTGTGTACTGTACTGAGGGTGTCTGTGTAGCTTGAGGGTTGTAATTGGTTTTGGTGATATGTAATGATGGGTGAAATCCTTGTGATATGTTGTCCAGTGTTGGGTAAGAGTTGATCCAGGTGTGTTCCAGTGACGCCTCCGTGGTGACCAAGGGTGGATTTATCCGTAGAGTCCAGTTCTTGAGCCGTATGGTGTGATTTCTGAGAGAGATTGGGTGATAATATGAAGAAAATATATGTATAAGAAAAGAAAGAAAAAAACTTTTAATTCTTCACATTTTTGACTACCACACCGGCTGGTGGCACTGTCTGACAGACTCTCACAACTTTAACCAGCGGGACGTTTGGTCTTTTGTTCATCTCGCCCATGCTAAGCACGATTGGCTTTACGACAAGGAACACATCAACCAAATAGGACGAAAGGATAAACCATGGGACAAGACTGACAGTTTCGTCCGATGGCTCCTTAAAAAAACTAACATGAACTGTGTCCTACCCTCAGACGTTGACTGGGAGGCTGCTCCTCGATTCTGGGCAAAGCATCTCACGGAAAAGACTATATCCAGATATGTAATTCAAGACCTCATGGCAGAGATGTGTGCCAAAAAGCCAAATAAGACTCTTAACTTCAACGGAGAGGAGGCCCCGGACGTCAAGCTTCACCCATCTTTCCAGGAGAAGGCAGATTCCTTGCAATCGAAGCTCATGGGTAGCTGGCCGGATACGATTGAAGACCACTACCAAAAAGTCATCGAAGCACACGAGCAGCACGAAAGAGAAGCAGCTAGGCTACTCAAAGAGGAGGAGGAACAAAGGGAAGGAAGTGATATGCTACTCGATCGTGCAAGCCAGACGCCACCGCCAGGACAAAGGCAACACACTAACTTTTGATCACCCAGTGGACACTCGGCTTATTCCCTACTACAGAAGGCAAAACAACCACCAAAAACGACAACTGACTACTCCAATGACAAGGACAGCGACTCCAAGGCCGAGGAAAGCAACAAAGAAGACAGCGATGAGGAGGCTGGAGAAGAGAAGGAATCGGATGATGAGAGTGACGAGGAGGAAGAGGCCGCGGAATCAAGAGTATCCCAGGTCCCACCGGTCCCACCAACTAAGACTGGGAAGAGTCGAAGCAGTGACGGTAGTTCTTCCTTATCAGATCTGCCGTCAGAAGAAGAACCAGAAAGCAGTGCGACAGACCCACGTCGCGACCCCAGTGAATAATGATCCAAAGTGAGTCAACAAAGAAGGGAATTATCTAGAAATATCTTGTAAATAGCGATAAAAAGAAGATTGCAAACAAATAAGACATGAGTAAATTAAAATTAGTCTAATAAGAACCACAGAGACTACCAACCTTTGAGAAAGGAAAGGGAGCAAATGAGACCAGACAAAGTGAAAGAACCAAAACCCAAAATCAGCAGGCCACTGGCCAGTCCACTCGCGTGACCCAAGTCGTTCACGCGAATGGGGACAAAGCCCCAAAAGAGCAGATGAGGATATGATAAGGACATGAGGAAGCAAAGTTGAACCACACCCAGTCGCGAGAACAGCATTGCTCACGCGAATGGGAGGGAGGCGGCCAACATAGACAGGGAAATCAGAAGAATAAACACGGGCCCAATTAATCCTCATACAGAGAAAAAACTTGACATCGCTTCTCATTTTTTCCTCTGGCTTCCACACTGATTATCTTTAAATATAGTATTCCTTTTCTTAACTCCACTCGCGCGATCAAACGTGTTCACGCGAATGGAGCCCAAACCAAAATAAGAAAATGGTGATGACGATATAGATATAAGATCGTTACAGGTTTAAGGAAGGCAAGTTGAACGACAGCCATTCTCGAGAACAACATTGATCACGAATCCTCGTGCAGAGAAAAAAGTCATCAGGTCGACCACACCACTCGCGAGACCACCATCACTCAGGCGAATAGAGCAAAACAAAAGGGGAAAGGTGAAAAGGCCCGAAGAAGCCAAAAAATCTAAACATTGCCCCTCCCTTCCACAACGATAAACTAGAGATTTAAATGTGCTGTTATTCTCAATTGTTAAGCTCTTGTTAAAATTTTTATGTAATGATATGTATTTTCATTCCAACTCATTATTTGTTTAAAATCATACAGAGGCAAAATAGAAGAATTAATGCTTTGACTGCAGTACCATTGATATCAAAAAAAAATGAAGCGAAATAGATCAAACACCTGAAACTCATATCGATTCCACAGGAATTGATTACCAAGCTTCTCTACGCAGTTGAGTCAAAGTATGAAGTTAAAAAACATCTGGAAATCTTCTTAGCCAAAAAACCATTTTAATTGGGGGATTGTTCCCATCTGAGGATTTAAAATCACTCTCCTTGAGTGTCCACTTCTTGAACAAAGGAGGATAATAACTTGCTCCTCTGCCACGGAATGGGACCTCAGCTCAACAAGGTATTCCAAATCACACTATTTATCCATATACCAAGAAATGTTTTTCTAGAGCTAGTGGAAGCCTTCCAAAACTTACCTGAGACCTTTATCACCATATGGACATTCCTGTCCCCATTGAGCTCCAACAAGGCTTAAGAGTACCCCCAGTGGGTGGAAGAATTGGCTTGAGACTTTCAGTACTATGGCCAAAATCATCTAGGAGCCATCAGCAAGATGATCTGAAAGCCTTTACCACTGAGCGTATCCATGAGGTGCTCTCCTAGATGTAGTCTGAAGCTGTTTATTTTGTTTTCAACCAACAAAAATCCAGGTTGCATTGATACCAAAGAATGAACAGGAGGCTCCAACTTGGAAGCATTGACCATGGGGGTCTTCTAAACCAATTGTTGGCCATTCAATTTGCAATCAACTGTAGGTTGGCCTTTGAATACAGCCTAATTGGGGGAGAGTAAGTATCTCACATATGCTGTAGGATGAACCATGATTTACTCCGAAAAGGAAAAGAGAAAAAAAATGCCAATCTGCTGGGCAAAAACTAACAAACCCTCCACCCTGTGAAAAAAAAGCATGATCTAAGCCTGATTGATAAATAGATAAAATCCAAGGCCCACACAAATGAATCAAAAAATGATACAAGAAAAATAATCAACTGCTGATATGCTGGGTATAAAAAGTTGCTCAAGCAAAAAAAAACAAGGGTGAAGTTATAAATAGAAAATTCAGCCAGAAAGAAGTTATTGGACTTGATAAAGTTGGTTCAACATATTCCAACCATGACTCTTTGGGAAATCAAGGGGAACAGTTGAAAGAGCAAAATAAAAATAGACTTATCATTTGGAAAGAAATTTTTCCCCAGTTGGGAAATTTGTTGACAGGTGCAAAGCATACTCATAATGAAGTTGTTGGTAATCTACTAGAGCAAGTCTCATGATGGCCTGTGGAGGAAGTTAATTTTTCAAAACCATACACATGCCATACAAAAAACTGAAGATTGATGTTCTTTCAACCCTGTAAACAGGATTTGTTTCCAGAAGTGGAAAATCAAAAAAGCCCCAGTGACATTTCTCAGTGATGAGGGGCATTTTAGTGTTCATGGGGGGATTGGGAGGGATAGGATTACCAATTTGGAAAAAAATAACTTGGGAATCCAAGTCATTACATGATTAGAAGACACCAGTTAACTGTATCAAGGTTACATTGGGGAAAAGGTCCACTGACTCAGTTTTGAATCCTGCTGAGTCCCTGGGAGAGAATTGGGTATGTACATGGATCAAGCAGTATTCAAAGATGGTTAAATTACTGAAGTAAGTATAAGCATACAAGCCTATCATTCAAGGTTGAGGAGAAACAAATTCAGAAAATCACTTGAGATCATGGAGTAAACAGTGGAAGATACCTATAGAATGATGGGTTGGGAAACCTCTTCCAATCCAAACATCACATAATCAGTTAAACAGAGAGAATCCATGCATTTTGCATTACTTTCTTTGTTGTCATAGAGGAAAAGAAAGAAACAATTTAGGTTATAAGATGATATAGTGGAGAACAGAAAAGGTTGACTAGGAGGAATTGAGATCAGTTGGGAGTGATAGAAGATAAGAGTGGGGGTAAAAAGAACATTTCAATGACATGTTGTAAGAAAAAGCTGGAACAATAGAGTAGTTAAGAAGTTCAAATAAAGAATTCAATTCACCTTGAGAGATATGAGTAGAAAATACTGGGAAGTTAACAGATGAGTAAAAATACTGGGAAGTTAACAGATGAGTAAATGTTCTCAATTGGGATTGATATGAGAGAAATAAAAAAAATTGATTTAGGTAAGGGTTTCAGAGGATTAGATAGATAATTGGAGGAAAGACAGGGCATGGTACAGGACTGCAGGTTTGATTGTGTATATTATGTGATGTGTTTGTTTATTCTTCTTGAGAACCCAATTGGAAGGGTCGTGGTGGATCTTGGTTAAGTGGTTGCAAAGAAAACAGCCCTGAAGTAAATGTTTTATGCAGATTGTATGAACTACCTTTTGAATTGGTAATTACAAAGGAAAAATCCATTGGGAGATAGGAGATGACAAAAACAGTCAAGGAAAATCATCCAAGAGTGAAAGGCAATGTCAGAAAAAAAGACAGAACAAAGCAAAACAGAAAAAAGCATGGTAACAAAAAAAAGCATGGTGATTCATTAGAGCAGGAAGAAGTATTGATAGTATAAAAGGAAGAGATGTGATTCTGGGTATGACATAAATAACCCTTACAAGAGAAACTTACAAGAGGAAAAACCCACCCATAAAAAGGCTGACAAAAAGAAAGATCAGTTGAAATGGCACACCAATGGATAGAAAAGAACTTAGATGTTTGGGAGAAGTGAAAAGGTAAATTTGGAGCAAGAGGAAAGATGGGGGCTTGGGTTGGAAATTGGAGAGTAGCAATCCTGACACTATTTTGATTAAGTTGAGATGATGGTAGGTGAAGAATGTGAAATAAAATAATTAGATGTTCTGAAAGGGTAAGCCACTATGCTTTGGGGGATGGTAAAAAGGAGCAGAAAATAAAAGGTAATATGTAGAGGAAGGAAAGAAGTGAAATTGGCATGGGTAGAGGGGGGGAGGGGAGTGTGGAGGGAGTGGAGGATGGTAATTGAAACAAGAGGGAAAGGAAGTGTGATAGATAAATGATGGAAGGAAGTTTGGAATTGGAATTGTGGGAGAAGTAGGGAGAGTAGGGAATGGAATTTTCTTATGAGTTAGATTAGATGAAGTTAAAGTTGTGAAGAAACAGTTCAAACCCTTGGTTTATTCAAAATCTGTTTGAGGTAAGTTACATATATTTTTGGAGAAGTTTGGGGGATGGTATCAGAGGGTGGTTTCATTTTACCTTTCCACAAAAATTTTGTAGGTAACAAGGATTACTTGAATGATATTTTGAAAATTGATGGGTGGAAAAATTGGGATAATAGTTTAGTAGATTTTCCAAGAAAAGAAAATAACCCTAATATGATTAACTATGAGCACAGCTAGGTTTAAGTAGGGGTCAATAAAACCCTATCATGATTAACTATACACCCACTAGGTTTAAGTAATGGAAACCCTAACCCTAACATGATTAACTATACACCCACTAAGGTTAAGTAGTAGAAACTGTAACCCTAACATGTTCAACCATAACACTGACTAGGGTTAAGTATCTGGGGACTCTAACCCTAACATGTTCCACCATAACACCCACTAGGTTTAAGTATCTGGTTACCCCAAAGTTACCTGGGTAACATTACCTTGAAAATGTTTGTAAGTGAATTTTGGATGATGGAATGTCAGGGTAGTTACCTTGTTACCCCACCACCAAAATTAGGTAACAGGTAACATGCACTGGGCCCCAAAGTCGCTGTGCATGGCACTAGGGAGGTACTTACTAGAATAAAATATAGTGAAGAGGGGAAATAATGAGTTGAAGAGGGGAAATAACGAGTTGTTGAGGATATCTGTTGATATTAAATGGCACCCAAAATGAACTGTTAGCAAAAAGCCAAATCTACACACCACCTCAAGTCCAAGGGAGGTCCCCCCTGAAGCATGAGCATGCAAAACAAACCAAAGAGAAAGCAGCCACTTACATATAAAAGATAATTTACTAGAGCACAGAGATCAGACTATTCAAGAGATGGCAACAGAGATATTTGCCGAGCCTGTGAGAAGCATGTGATAAACAACACAGACAGAATCAGCCAAACCATCCCAAAGAAATCAAAAGAAGGCAACCAGACTCCCAGCCTTGACCTGGTGGTGTGGGGAGGTACTCACTGAAATAGAGGATTGCAAGTGAAGCAACAGGGGAGAAGGAGGCCTGTATATAGACAGCAAAACCACCATCAGTCAAAAAACCCCCCAAATTTAAAAAAAACCAAACCAGAATTTATTAGTTGACCTCAAGTTGAAAGGAGGTACTCACTGAGATTGATGTTTCCTGTGGGTGACTCTACAGGGGAGAACAAGGGTCTTTTATAGACAGCAGATGTCAAGTCAGTTGCAATTGAGAGCCAGATTTCACCCTTGACCTAGAGATGAAGCTGGGAGGTACTCACTGAAAAAAAGCCTTTCAGGTGAAGCAGCAGGGGAGAAAGAGGCATTTTTATAAGCAAAGGTGGACTAGTCAGTCACAAATTCCCCCAAATTGCAAAGGAACCAAACCAGAATTTATCCCTTGACCTCAAGTTGAAGGGAGTTACTCACTAAGATTGATGGTTCCTGTGGGTGACTCTACAGGGGAGAAGAAAGCTCTTTTATAGACAAGAGGGGTCAAGTGAGGCCTTTATATAGACAGCAAAAACACCATCAGTAAAAAACCCCCCAAATTTAAAAAAACCAAACCAGAATTTATTAGTTGACCTCAAGTTGAAAGGAGGTACTCACTGAGATTGATGTTTCCTGTGGGTGACTCTACAGGGGAGAACAAGGGTCTTTTATAGACAGCAGATGTCAAGTCAGTTACAATTGAGAGCCAGATTTCACCCTCGACCTAGAGATGAAGGGAGGCACTCACTGACAAAGAGCCTTGCAGGCAAAACAGCAGGGGAGAAAGAGGCCCTTACACTACAAACAATACTGATTTCGCCCCAAGGAAAAATGGCAACTTGGATGGTGGAAAATAGATCAATTTTCTGGCACTTTTTTCACAAGATGCCTCAGGAGTAAAAAATTAGGCTAAACTGAGCTATTTTAGCCAAAAAATAAAAATGTCTCAAATGAGCTAAAAATTCATTTTGGAATGTTTGATGAATTTCTATCTCTGGGCTAAAATAGCTCGGTTTAGGCTAATTTCTACTCCTGAGGCATTTTGGAAAAAAATTCCAGAAAACTGATCCATTTTCCCCCACCCAAATTGCCATTTATTTTTGGTGCAAAATGGGTATTGCTTGTAGTGTTATATAGATAACAGAGCCCCAAATCAGCAACAAGCCGCACAGAATAAAGGTAAACCAAACCAGAATTAATTAGTTGAACTCAAGTCAAAGGGAGGAACTCACTGAGATTGATGTTTCCTGTGGGTGATTCTACAGGGGAGAACAAGGCTCTTTTATAGACAAGAGAAGCCCAGTCAGTGGCAATTGGCAGCCAAATATGACCCTTGACCTGATGATGGAGGGAGTTGCTCACTGAAAAAGAGGTTTGTGGTGAAGCAACGGAGCAGAAAGGGGCCTTTATATAGACAGCAGACCCTCCATCAGTAAAAAATCCACCACAATTACAAAGAAGCAAAACCAGAATTTATCAATTGACCTCAAGCTGAAGGGAGGTACTCAGTGAAATTGATGTTTCCTGTGGGTGGGTCTACAGGGGAGCAGCTAGTGAAGCAACACAGGACAAAGAGGCCTTTATATAAATAGCAGAGCCCCAGTCAGCAAAAGTCAAGCAAAATATAACTCAAACCAAACCAGAATCAATTATTTGACCTCAACCCAAAGGGAGGCACTCACTGAAATTGTTGTTTGTCTGTGGGTGGATCTACAAGGGAGAAGGAGGGGATATTATGGAAAGAGATGCCAAGTCAGTGGCAATTGACACCCTGATTTCACCCTTGACATAGTGATCAAAGGAGGTAGTTACTGAAAAAGTGGTTTACCAAGGGGGGGGGGGGGCAACAGGGATGAAAGAAAGTAGTTTATAGAAAAAGGACGTCCAGTCAGCAGCAATTCTCACAAAATTAGAATAACACCAAACCAGAATTTATCACTTGACCTCAACTTGAGGAGAGGTACTCACTGAGATTCCTTTTCCCTGTGGGTGATTGTGTGTACATAACAAGCAAAGTCCGTAAGAATTTAAAGCCAGATTTTCAATGTCCCCACATGGTGCAGGGAGGTACTCACCACAAAGGCCCTTTCCTCACGCTGCGACATGGAACGGGGAACCTTTTTGTAAGAGAGGACTATTTATTAAAAGAATTAGTCACATTAGTTATAATTTACAAAAAGACCTCATGATTACAGCTCTTACTAACCCAGAATGCAGTGTGTTGTAGGTACCAATCTGTTGTCCAATTTAGGGCCTATTCAAAAATCATAGATTGCAGAAGTATCAAAACCTCACGCCAACTACTCACAATAGAATACCACACTGCCTGAAATAAACAATTTCCAACACTGACTCAAAGACAAAATTGCCACTAACATCAACTGTATTTTGTCAAAGAAAAACAAGAGAGCTTATTTGCATAAACCTGAAACCCTGATCCAAACAACACATTCCATCAGTTTAAACACGCTCATCTGAAGCCTTGAGTCCACCAGGAAACTTACTTACAGAAAATCAACCTTGTGGTCAACACACCCAGGGGGAGCAGCAACACCCTACAGTCACAACAGAACAAGCACCACCATCAGTTCTTCCCCAGACTTGGGATCCAAGACTGGCACTCACAGGGATTAGACTATTCAAGCAGTTATGAACACAATTGCGGCCACAATGATGAATACCAATTAGTCCTAATTGTAAAAACACCCACCCAGATATTTTCAGCTGTCCTGCTCACACAAGAGCCATTAGCTGAATGGAAAACGCACCCCCAGATTGTTGTGGCGCGAGGTCGAGCCAACAACAAACGTGTTTGTCAGAAGCTCCCTGAACAATCCTCATGAGTTACAAACACTCGTAGACCGCAAACACTGGAACAGAAACCCAACCTTGATATTGCTGTTGCACCCTAACCCGATCCTTTTCCAAATTGTTTCAGAGATCCATCAGAAACAGAAATGCCCAAGCCAAACATCCTTACTCAACTTACCCAAGCGAATGAGCCCAAAAAAAAACCCAGAAAGTCCGATTTGATCCCCAGAAGCCAATCACAAATGAACCTCAAATTCGTTCCAACGTGCCTGACAGAGAAGGAACATACATACAAAGTATGCCATTGTACATTCAGCTCAGAGAATTTAGACCCAGACAAACAGCACCAATCACCCAGACTTGATCCTCACCTTACAACTTCAGATGTTGTTTCTATAACCAAAGCCACCGGCCATTTGCCAAAGCCGAAGAAAGAATAACCAGTTGTTTCAAGCACAATTAATCGGAGTCAGCCTCACCCTCTTACCCCCCTTCCTTTCATCCAAAAACGCAAGTCAAAACTTACCAGGACAACGTGCAAACAATCCAAAAAGTCTTCTGAAAGTCACCCCCTCTTATCGTTTTTGGTTCCTTGCTCTTGAATCCTTTCAAGGTCAACACCCGGAGTGAGACTGATATTCAGAAGAAGTTCAGCAACATCAAGAAAGACCAGCCCAGTAACCGAAAACATACCTAGCTAAGCAATAATCAATAGAAGGAACCAGTAGAGATTGCCTTATTGCGGTCGAATCAATGCCAAACTGAGTTGAGTTGAGACCAACGCAGAGTCAGAAGGATTCCTTCTATAGACAAACAGATAGCAGGTGCAGATCGAGGGGGTTGATAAACGCAAGCCAACCCCCCTTGCGCACGCCAGGCGCAGATTGGCGTGCGCGCCTGCACGCCAAAGAGGATTGGCGTGCAGGCCTGCACGCCAGTCTGCTGCAGGGTGGATTGGCCTGCATATGGCGTGCAGGCCTGCACGCCAATCTCCCTCCCATAGGACCCAGGCATGGGTCCTATGGGAGGTTTTTTTTTCTTTCAAAAAAAAATAAGAACAAAAAAAAAATTCTTTCAAAAAAAAAAAGAAAAAAAGCAAAAGAAAAAAAAAAGGCCTACACGTCGACCAGGAGGAATCCATCCTGGTCGGCGGTACAACCTTGCCGGCCGAGGAGGGAATCCTCCTCTCCTGGTCGGCGAGGCTGTACGACCTTGCCGATAATCGGGTTGGTTGGTTGCCTCGAACTTGATGATTGATAATAGAAATGATAGACATAGCTAAATCGAAACTTCAAGACAAAGCCGTCCAAAAAAAATTGATCGAGCTGGCGAAAACGTACCGACAAACCGAAAGGAACACCTTCCCAGATTACTCTTCCCCCTCAACGTCGGACAGGAATAGTCTGTATTGTCAGAAGAAACCCAAGAATCCTGAACTCGTCGGATTGTCGCAAAAACAAAGCTCGGCCGCTGATCCTAAGTTGTTCTTTGACCCTAAGTCTAACGGTAAGAGTATCCAAAAAGGCTCAGATCGTAAGTCATTACCGAGTTTCGATTACAGAATTAGTCATTCTTAGTGTCCATCAAATTCCACTCGTGGCTAATTGCTTTCGTCGTTGCGTGTCTGTGGTTTTTTGGGTTTCTTTTTTTCAAATGAAGATGACGTGCCGGAGGGTGGAGGCGATGAAGCGGCGGGGAATGCGTCTGACAACTCGGCTAATGCGAGCAGTCCCGGGCCCAACGCGTTCTCCTTGAGCACGACTCGCAGTCCGACTGAAATCCAACACAACCGAGAGCTCGGCATAGTCGAAAGTAGTCGGCCTCACAAGCTCGCTAACAGCACCCAGTCCTCACAAGCTCCCACTAGCGTCCGACTGCAAGCTCCTTCTACTGATCCAGTGAAGAACTCGGCCACAAAAGAAAAGTCCCAGCCTCCACAAGGCAAGCGAAAATCATCCGGCAAATGTCGTCCAAAACGCTTGAGGAGGGTTTAGAAAATATCCTCTGCTTATTGCCCCAGAGTTTGTGGTAATGATTCCTTGAAATCTGTGAATAGCTTTCTATGTAAATACATTTATTTTGGGGATTTCCGTTGCTTTGGGTGTGTACCGTCGACCAGGAGGACACCCTCCTGGTCGGCGAGGCTCAGGAGGGAATCCTCTATTCCCTCCTGGCCGGCAAGGTCGTACAACCTCGCCGGCCAGGAGGGAGTCCTCCTGGTCGGCAAGGCTGCTGTGTTTTTTTTTTGCATGAAAAAAAAAAATCTTATTATGTTCATATTTTTTTTTTTGAAAGAAAAAAAAAATGAGCGGAGCCATCCCATAGGACCCATGCCTGGGTCCTATGGGACGGCGGTGGTCCCTAAACCCATATGTATACATATGTGTTTAGGGACTGTTGGCGTGTAGGCCTGCACCCAACTGCCGGCCATCTACCCTGCAGCAGATTGGTGTGTGGGCCGGCACGCCAATCCGCTTTGGCGTGCAGGCCCACACGCCAATCTGTGCCTGGCGTGCATTTTGGCGTGCGCGAGGGGGGTTGGCTTGCGTTTATCAACCCCCGCAGATCGATTCCAAACAAGATCGCCAGTCAAAGCAGAAGTCGTCCCTCCCAAACGAGCTCAATCCTGAGAATTCAAACAGATGTCATGTCAGATCCAATCAGTTCGAAAACATTCTGGCACTCTCATCAGTCGAGCTCACCAAACCAAGAAACCAATGCCAGACGAGATTGTAGGTCGAGATGGATCCCAGACAATGGCGTAGGTTAATATCAATCCGAAACGCGGTCGCTAGCCTTTTTGAAGTGTGAGGTTGGGATGAGTCGACTCGAAGAGGAGTAAGCTGCCCAGCTGAGTTGAGAATGTCACCTCACGGTGAGGCGCAAGCAAAAGCAGCCCCGACCCCGGGTCCACGGTACTCGACCTCCCCCGCACCTTCGTTCAAGCCGAGGTGAGGTCGATCCTCCGTTTGACCTTGAGCTGAGCTAGAAAGGGTGAGAGGGACCACGAGCTGAAAAAGATTCAGCTCGAGGCCGATCCATCTTCCATGCACCAAGTCGACCAGGAGCTGAAAGAGATTCAACTCGAGGTCGATTCATCTTCATCCAGATCCCTAAAGGACTTCGAGCTGAATCCCTTTCAGCTCGAGGTCAACACCCCCACCACAGACCTCAAGCTGAAAGGGATTCAGCTTGAGGTCGATCACTCTCCCTGTGTCTGAAGACCAATCGACCTCGAGCTCAAGCCCTTCCAGCTCGAGGTCAACACCCCTGTTTGAAGAGGGATTGACCTCGAGCTGGATGTCTTACAGCTTGAGGTGGACAGCCCACCGCTGACCTCGAGCTGAAAGAGCTTCAGCTGGAGGTCGATCACTCCCTCTGTTTGAAGAGGGATCAACCTCGAGCTGAATCCCTTTCAGCTCGAGGTCGACACCCCCACCACAACCGCAGACCTCGAGCTGAAAGAGCTTCAGCTCGAGGGCGATCACGCCCACTCCCTCTGTCTGAAGAGGGATCGACCTCGAGCTGAATCCCTTTCAGCTCGAGGTCGACTCCCCACCAATGACCTCCAGCTGAAATAGACTCAGCTCAAGGTCGATCACTCTCCCTCTGTATGAAGAGCGATCGACCTCGAGCTGAAGCTCTTTCAGCTCGATCGACACCCCACCGCTGACCTCAAGCTGAAAGACATCCAGCTCGAGGTCGATGCGGGCCGTGGGCCGGGCCTCAAGCTGAAACAATTCAGAGCCAGGTCATTAACCTCATCCACTACAGACCTTGAGCTGAAGACAATTCAGCTCGAGGTCAATGCCTCATCCCCCACAGCAACAGGGCACCTCAGGCTGAGCAGTTTTCAGCTTGCGGTCAATGTCCTTTATCAAGCCATACAGCTCCGACCTCGAGCCGAAAGGGTTTCAACTCGAGGTCGATGCGGGCCGCGGGCCGGGCCGGGTCGGGCTGGGCCTGGTAATACCTCAGCTGCACAAATCGAAGTCTACTGTTTCTCAGCTGCATTCATTGGGTCTGGGCTGCCCTGGGTTACAGGGCTCATTGGCCTTCATCTTAGCTTGACATGGGTGGTTTACAAGTAGGATATTAATCCAAACAATCAACAGATTTTCCTTCTGATTGTATTTTCCTTTGATCATATCAGATGAAGGATTGACACGGATGAATTCATACATTTTGATGTATGAAAGGAAGTAAATCACAGGACAATAGTAAGCATTTATACAATTAGAATAAAAAATAGTAATGAAAGATAAGAAAAAATTAATTAATGAGATCAATCAACTCATAAATATAACAATCTAGAGAGACAGGCAGTCCAAGTAAAAGAAGGCATGAGACAGCTCAATGATGGGCCTCTGGCTTTGAACTATCTTGGCACTAAGTGAACAAACCAATCCTCCGTTTGGGATTCATAGGTTACAAGTTAGACAAAATCACAATGAAACAATGAAAGGGTAGCTTGATATGTAAAGAAGCTTTCAGACCAGGGATAAGGTCTCTGCTATCTTTGGTTTTACAAGTACTGTTTGTATGTTTTTGGGGTTTGTGTTAGTGATATTGTCTAGAAAGGTGAGCTGGATAAAATTTATTGGACTTTGGAAGCAACAGACAAAAGATTGACATGCATAGATCCATACACTTCGATGAGAAAGAAAGCAAATCACTGACAGGGATAATAAGAAGGAAAGACAGCTATATTTCTTTGAAGCAGTTGATGTAGGCTTTTTATGATTAAAAAAATAAATGTCAATGAAAGACAAGCAGTAAAGATGAGCAACAGAAGGGATAAGCAACAGAGACATCTGCTTAAGGAGATCAACCCTTAAAAATAAAGAATTAGAAAGAAACACAGTCCAAGTGGAAGAAGGCATGATACAACCCACTGACCTCATGTTTTGTAGGACATTTATTCAATTTATTTTTTCCTGAAATGCAATAGTGCCCTTTGTGTAGTCCATACTACTCAGCTGAAAAGTACCTTGGACCACCCTTTCATATCCTTTCACCTCCAGGACAATGGGCCTATCTGTCATTTTCCTTGCTTTTTAAATTCAATTGCACAGTGCTTTTGAAACATACTCACCAATACAAAGGAAAGACAATCAGAGAAAATAGACAACAAGGAGAGACAGTAAATTGAAGAGGGGTACTTGCAGGGCCGCCACTTTGGATGAACACACAGAATTGTCAGATATGCAAAACAATTACCTATGCTTTACCCTTCTTTTTCCCCCAATGCTGCCGTGCTTTTGGTGGCTACTCACCCAGCGAGCCCATATAGTTCCTCTGATCTCCTTTCCAAAGCAATTCACCACTAGGTCATTGGCTTTTTTGGGGTATCTTTTGAACACATTGCCTTGTTTTTGCTTTTACTCATCATGATAAAAGGCTGACACACAGATTTTATTCTGGATAAATAAATAAATTTTCATGATGGATAAGAAAGAAAGACCAAGACACAAAGGAAAAATATTTACATACATACATTGCAAAGCAGCAGCTGAAGGACTGATGTGATTGAAATGATAGATGTCAGTAAATGACAAGAAAGAAAGGGAGACTATCAATCAAGAAGATTCATTGATTCACTCTCTGTTTATTTGCTTGTTTAATCATATTTATTTTTTTTGTGATGACATGACATTTTCTCTCTTCTGTTTCTTAGAGGGAAATTGGAGGGATCCTGCACAAATAAATGCAAAGAAAACAGCCCTGAAGTAAATATTGTGTGGAAATTGTTCAAACTATCTGGGCACTCAGCAAACAAGCCAATTCTCAGTTTGGGACTCATGGATTAGAAGTCAAACCAAATCAAAATAATAAAATTGAATGTGGGATCACCAAAAATCTGATGTCCCATGTGTGAATAGAGAAACATTGCTTTGTGGAATAGAGCCCCAGACAGCATGCCCATTTGAGATAATGTAGTGCAAGACAGAAAGAACATAAAGCACAAATGTTATATATATTTATTCCTTGTCCATCAAATATTCAACAAGAATACAGTGTGTGATAGATCAGATGGGTTTCAAAGTACATTTGTGTGGCTTGTTCAACCACTTGCCTGTGGTTTTTCACAAACATTTCTGTGTGAGTTTTCCAAGTACCTGTATGTGATTTTTACAAGCACTTGAATGTTCTTTGCACAAGAACTCACCTTGGGATTTACAAGCAATTAGTGCCTGTTTCTTTTTAGCAGTACACGCCACAATGAAAATTAAAAAGGGAACTTGAAAGCATCATGTTTGGATTACTGCAAAGAAAACTGCCCTCAAGTAAATACTGCATGCAAATTATTTGACTGTTATTAATTCCAAGTGATACAAGAGCAAGACAATGCAATGAACTCTATAAAACCCACAGGGGAGATATGTTGGATAAGAAGGCAAGTAAATCAATGAAAGTGATAAGAAAGAAAGATAGCTATATTTGTTGTGTATTTGGGATTGACAGAATTAATATCATGGATATTAATGATGGATAAAGACAATCATGGAATGTGATGTGATAGAGAGGCAATGAATTGAGGGGTTCAGCTCACAATAAAAAAATTAGAAAGAGAGATGTAGAAGAGGGCATGACATGACTCACTGATGACTTGTAGAAAAATTATTAACCATACTGTTTCCTCAAATGCCACAGTGTGCCTTCTGGAGAACATACAACTCAGCCAAAAATTACTAGGACCTCCCTGTCAAATCCTCTCACCTCTAGGTCAATGGGCTTTTTTGTCACTTTCCCTGCTCAATTCCACAGTGCTTTTGAAACATACTCACCAATTAAGGACATGGATAGGATCAAATTCACAAATATTGATACAGGAAAAGAAAGAAAACAATCACATAAAGAGACACCAGAGAGACAATTAACTAGGAATAGAAAATCAAAAGAATAAATAATTGGTAAGAAATGAGAAACTCACAAGAATAAATAATTGGTAAGAAATAAAACTCCCAGTAGAAGAAGGTGGGTGTTAACTCAACAATCTGACACCATGACATGCCTGTTCTTGTTCCAAGGACTTCTATAAAAGTAATTCTTTGGTGAATTGAGAGAATGCACCCTCTGGAGCACATACCACTCAACCAAATACTCACTGGAACCTCTCTCTCAAATACTTTCACCTCTAGGTCAATGCACTTTCTTCTGCTATTTCAGATGGACTGGTAGAATTGTGAGCTATTACAAACAATTATCTACAACTTCCTCCTCTTTTCCCACCAATTCCGTTGTGCGATTGGTGCCTGCTCACCCAGTGAGCCCAAATAGGTACTCTGACCTCCTTTTCAAAGCAATTGACCACTAGGTCAATAGCTTTTTTGGGGCATCCTTTGAACACATTGCTTTATTTTTCTCTTTTACTTTTCAAGATAGAAAGATACTCTACAAATTACATGCTCTTACTAGCCACTTTCTTGCAAATCTATATCAACCTGGAGGTGTCAGTTATCAAGGTAGAATCTAATTCCACTGCCCAATTCATCTTACTGACTCATCTGCAATTGTTATGGCTTAAAATTTTAATTAGTTGCTTGTCATATCATGGATAATTAATATTTTTGTTTTGGTACAGCTTTATTTTCTTCCTGGTTGCGAAAACAAATATTAAACAGTCTGAATACATCAACACATCATGGAAAATAAAAATTACACAGTCTAGATACATCAACCAGCCACCTTTTTTGAATTATTTTTCTACCTGGGCTGGGTCAAAGTCTACCTCTGCAAATAATTTTCAAAAAATCAGGCAATGGCCCAATGACCAATGGTCTACCTGGTCTACCTCTCGCCTATACCAGGTAGACAGGTAGACATCATTCGGCGCCCATACGCCTGATGAAAACACTAGGGCCCAAAGGGAGCCTAGTGCCAAGATCTATCATTATATATGCTCAATTTTCCGAGTACTTGGCTGAGGTTTGAACAATTACCTCTTCGTGATTTGTTCAAGTAATCACCTTTGACTTTATGGCTGATTATCTAGGAATGAATATTGGCACACTGTATTGTTTGCATGTTTGAAGTTACAGATCAAGGATTGGCAAGGATAAATTAATATGTTTGACTTTACTGTTGGATAAGAAAGGCAGTAAATTAATGACAGTGAGCAGAAAAAAAGACAGCTATATTTGTTGTGTATTTGGGATCAACAGAATTAATATCATGGATATTAATGATGGATAAAGAGAATCATGGAATGTGATGTGATAGAGACGCAATTAATTGAGGGGTTCAACTCACAATATAAAATTTAGAAAGAGAGATGTAGAAGAAGGCATGACATCACTCACTGATCTTATACAGCTGCCCTTTTGTAAATGACTTGAAGGCCTCAAATGCCACAGTGTGCCTTCTGGAGAACATCCAACTCAGCCAAAAATTACTAGCACCTTCCGGTCAAATCCTGTCACATCTAGTTCAATGGGCTTTTTTTGTCACTTTCCCTACTCAATTCCACAGTGCTTTTGAAACATACTCACCAATCAAGGACATGGATAGGATCAAATTCACTAATATTGATACAAGAAATGAGAGAAAACAATCAGATAAAGAGACGGCAGAGAGACAATTAAGTAGGGAGAGAAACTCACAAGAATAAATAATTGGTAAGATATAAAAATGCCAGTAGAAGAAGGTGGGTGTTAACTCAACAATATGACACCATGACATACCTGTTCTTGTTCCAATAACTTCTGGGAAAATTAATTGTTTGTTGAATTGAGAGAGTGCACCTTCTGGAGCACATACAACTCAACCAAAAAATAACTGGAACCTCCCTCTCAAATACTCTCACCTCTAGATCTCTAGATCAATGCACTTTTTGTTGGCCATTTAAGATTGACAGGTAGAATTGTCAGCTATGGTAAACAAATATCTACTTTGACCTCCTTTTCAAAGTTATTCACCACTAGGTCAATAGCTCTTTTTGGGCATCTATTGAACACATTACTTTATTATTCCTTTTACTTATCAAATCGAAATATACTCTACAAACTATATGCTCTTACTAGCTGTTTTCTTGCAAATCAATTTCAACCTGGAGGCATCAGTTATGAAGGTAGAATCTAACTCCACTGCCTACTTGATCTTACTGACGCATTTGTAATTTTTATGGCTTAGACTTCTAATGGGTTGCTTGTCATATCATGGGTAATTACTATTTCTGTATCGGTACAGCTTAATTTTCCACCTGGTTGCAGTTCATATCATGGAAATTTAAAATTAAATAGTCTGAATCCATCAACACATCATGCAAAATCACATTATTGGTACAGCTTAATTTTCTACCTGGTTGCAGTTCATATCATGGAAATTTAAAATTAAATAGTCCGAATCCATCAACACATCATGCAAAATCACAATTGCACAGTCTAGATATATCAACCAGCCACTTTTTTTGGATTATTTTTCTACCTGGGCTGGATCAAAGTCTACCTCATTAAATAATTTTCAAAAAATCAGGCAAAGGCCCAATGACCAATGGTCTACCTGGTCTACCTGTCCCCTATAAGAGGTAAACAGGTAGACACCATTCGGCGCCCATACGCCTGATGAAAACACTAGTGTTGTTAACGTCTTCCCTAATCCCATATCATCAGCAAGTATTGAACCTTGCGACCTGTCATCTTCGGGGGGTTCTGTCTCGCTGGACACAGACTCTTCGTCAAAGTAGTGACGAAGCCAGGCGTTGTCGTCGTGGTACCACAAGTCTTTGGTATTGTTGTTGGGATGCTCGTTCCTCAGTAGAAAGCTGAGGGCAGATAGTTGATGGGATTTCAGATTTGTTTGGCATTGTCGAAGTGATGCAGAAAGCGTTGGGGGTGGTCCGGCAAACAGACTGTTGGGGGAGATTCGAGAGGTGAAGTGCGGAATTTTGAAGAAAACATCTGGGTTGTAGTTCCAAATTGGAGTGAGCTCGACCTCCGAAGCTTGAAAAGCTGACTGTACTTCAGGTATCTTTTTGGATCGGCTGAACACACAGCCCCGTAGCTGAGGTGTTATGCAATTTTTTGTTACAAGAAATGCACGCAACTTGACTAGAGCCACTTCATTGGGGGGGATTTCCGAACAAGTTACTGGAGTTGAACAGCTTGAGACGGGCCCTAAAAGTGGACCCAAGTATTGGCTCTGTTTTTCACTCAGATCACCAAATCGGGTGCGTGTTTCACAATATATGTGGACTAGTTTGTGCCCTTGTTGTAGGAACACAAGCTGAGGTAAATCACCACACCGCTGAGGTTTACAGGACTGGGGAGGCTTACTGGGATGA